ATGAGACCCATCCTGCAAAGTGTAAGTCACATACCCAAGGAAAACACAGATTGGTGGGCAGTTTTACTCTACTCCCAAGCGGAGTCCTGGAAATACAGCACCCTCCTTCTTGAGATGACCAGAGGCAGAATTGTTGTGGGGGGACAAAGATCTCAAAGGATCAGAGCAACTCTAAGTAAATGAGATGAGTCCCTGACATGGGAATCAACAAGGATGGACACCAGATGGAATTCAAGCTAGACTAGGAGACAGAGACCGCCCTTGTTCCCCTTGTTGTATCGGGGCAATGGTCAAGAGAGAGCCTTCTAGTTAGAGATGAGCCTGAAGCAAACTACCAGGAAAGGGACTGGCAAAAAGGAACTGGCAAGAGTGGGAAGAGTCAAAACCACCACGTACAGAGGGCAAAGGAAGAAATCAGAGGAATGAAATGTGGGCTCCAGAGTTTTGAACGTCCTGTTAGGTCATTAGGTTGTGTCAGTGCTTGAGTTGTGTGGTATTAAACACCACATTCACTGAAAATACTGTTCTCCTGCAGGATCTGAGCAGGACGGGGTTCCCCATGCGATTAAAGAGAAAGTATATCCCAAACCTCTCTCTGCTACTGTTCTTTGACAAATCTTTGGCTGTTGACCAAGTCGAGAAAAGAAAATGACTATAATGGAAGATACGGAACCCTTAACACAGCCCATAAATCATCTGCCACAAATGAGCTTCAGAAGAAGGTATTTCAGGAGATCAGAATTACTCTGATCACAAGGACCAGATCCAGGTCAAATCTAGCGAGTCAAAGAATTGACATTCATAGACTTGGAACAAAAATGTCAGGTTTATTGCGAAACCTCCCTCATTATTTTTTTTGTGTGAAGAAGATATTCAATAACATTAATGCATTGCACCAGTTGGTCACACAAAGCACTGGACATTGTGCAGGTAGGGGAACAGATGCAACATTTTATCAGTGGACCACATCTAATCATGAGAACAGAACATAAATGCTTGACCCATGGAAAAAAAAAAGGCCTGGTCCCATGGACTGCAGGGCACCTTCAATTCTACTGAGGCCCTCAAACCAGGTCCTTTACCACAAAGCAGGTGAAGACACTCAGCCAAGGAGAAAAGTGAAGAAGAGGAGGACACAACGACCACCACAACCCTGGTGCTCCATTCCATGAAGGCGAGAAAGCTCAGAAACAGGTTTTCTGGACTGGACACTTCAATTCAGTGCCAAGGAGTCTCCATTTTGCCCTCTCTGTGCAGCTACCCTGAAATCTGATCCATCAGGCAAAAGCAGTCTTTCAGAGAAGCAGAATCTTTCCCTTCGGGAAGAGAAGACAGGATGATCAGTTCTGAGCAGAACCCTCATGAGGCATGGAAAAATCCTCATAAAGATTGGAAGAGAATGTTTTGGGTGAAGAAATGTGAACTAAGTTCCTTATTTGAAGAAGCAAACACAAGAAGCTTCTGGAGGAAGAGGGAAAGTCCACGACTGTACAAGAGAAATGGAAGAGTGATTGCGCCTGCCCAGTGGTGAGATCCTGTGGTCAATGAGGCCTTATAACCCTGCAGGGTCAGCCCAGCACAGGA